GCCCACGCTCACAGGGTGGCCATGAGCATCCTGCCCTCCTCTGGCTCTAGACCTAAAGGTCTGGGAATGTGCTGAACTCCTGAAGTGTCTAATGCCTGTGCCTCTGGCTAAAAGCACATTTTAAAAAAATCCTTTTGCCTTTTTAGAGAAAATCCCAAGTCTGATTCAACAGACCTAAATTCCCAGATCTGAAATCTGGTCTCAGAGGAAGCTGAGCTGCGCTGTCAGCCCCAGGAGCGCCAAGGCCACTGTGGCCACCAGCCCAGCGCTGCACTGGACACACACTACCCCTCACCAAAGAGGTGTCTGGGGATCCCTTTGGTTGCCCACTTTCCCCACCAGCAGCCTAAAGCCCCAAGAGCAGTGGGGAAAGGGCAGAGCTGTGCCAAATAAAGCACCTTCCGAGTGGGAGCGCGCAGCCGAGCCCCAGCAGCGTGGGCTGCCCCAGCCCCAGCTCTCAGCTGTCACACTCAGGCCACGCTGATAAAGCCCTGCTCTGCCTGCCCTTATTTAGTCAGGAGCCTCTGCTGACTCCAGCGATTTTGGGACGTCATTTGCACCACACAGCCGCGTTCCCCAAGGAGACGCTCGCTGCTGCCCGGCCACGCAGCCTGGAAATGCTGAGCACAGGGAGACAGCGGCGGCGCTGCTGGGAATGCAGCCAGGCAGAAGAGGCTTGGAAAGTGATACAGGAGCTGCCAAGTGCTCTTGTTATTTGAAGGGAAAGCTAAGATGTGCCCCAAAGTCATGGGTATGGATAGAAAACCAGCTTGGGCTTCAAAACCAGGCAACAGCTCATACTGAGCAACGCCTGTGGGTTGGTGGTGGGGAAGCCACATCAATGTCATGCCTGGCACTGGAGCTCTGTTGTGCTTTCACAGAGCCCAGGCTCACCCTAATGAGCAAACGCCACTAAATCAGGAATTGATGTCCCACACTTCAGAACACAATCTAGCAATGCCTACAGATATCTATTGATATTACGTTAAAACAAAAATAAATCCAAAATGTATTCACTCGTAGTTGTACTCTCCAGGTATAAACTACACAGGGGCTACAGGACCAGCACACGAGTACAAGCTGGTGAAGCACAGCAGCCATTATAGCCTCGAATATCTTGCTTTCCTGTTGATCCCGTGACATCCAGCAGATTTATCTGAGGTGTTCCTGCCAGGACATCACCCTTCAAAGGATCTCAGAGCTTGGCCAGACCCGTGCCTTGCAGGACACATGGCCAAGTCTCTCCATTGATTTTGGTCCAAGTCACTGGGAAACACAACCATGTGCAAAAGCAGACCATATCAGATACTGCTGCAATGGGACAGAGGTGGGATTTGCAGTATATACACTCATTTTGCCCTCAAAAAGCACCACAGAGAAGGAAAACCCCTGTAAAAGCTGCCCAGCTACTGAGCACACAGGTTTCAAAAAATCAAAGGTTTCCCCTGCAGACAGTACTGCCCTTCCTCTTTATTTTATTTAATTTTATTTTCATATATTCTGAAGAGATAAAAGCCGACCATTTCCATGCTTCTTCTGCCTGTATTCTGTGGGACAATCCTCACCTGTTGACAGGCAAACACACGCTGCTCCCCAGGCACAAGGAGCTTCAAGTACCCAGGGTACAAAACACCCTATTCTGTACGAGCCCATGTGCCCAGAAAGCTGCAGGGCAGCTGTTTCACACCTCAGCATGGCTTTGAACCAGCTCACTCGTGGTCTGGTGGTGGCTGTTCCCTCCTCACAGTCCTCCAGCCAGTTTGTCTGCTTCAGCTCCCAGGAGGTGAAGCCCCACTGCCATCCCAGGCTCTCCCCGTGCTTCCCATCCACCCCAGCTTTTTTTCAAAGGAGTTCCCAGTCAGGATGGAGGGTAGGAGAGGGGAGGTTGGAGGGACACAGGTGCCTTCACCTGGCACTGCAGGAAGAGCCGTGTGCCAGCTCTGACAGGAGTCCCTTGGGACCACAGCAGGACAAGTCCTGGAGTTCCAGCAGTACAGGGCAGGGCTAATGAACACCTCATGGTGTGTTATGTGTGTTAAGCCCACATCCATCCGTGGCTACCCTTGGGCAGGGGTAAAGCTGTGTCTGCCAGCTGCCACAGAGGCTGCACTCCAAGATGGTTTTCTCCTGAGTGAGAGCAGCCTGGGTGAGGATTCATGCTCCAGCTTCCATCAACTCCATCCCTCCAGATCCCCAGAGCTGCTGAGGGATGTGCACAGGGTTTTTGCCCAACATCTGAGCAGCACCAATGGACTTTGCATGGGGTGAAGCTGGCTGATCTGGATGGGCTGCTCAGGAGAGCTTGGCCCCATGCCAAATGATTTCCACTGAAATAATGAAAAACAGAGCTGTTCTCTCAGCTGTCAGTGAGATGATGTCCTCAGCTTCTTGCACAACTGGGAGAGCAGCTGGATTGCCAACCCAGGAGGATTCAGAAGGGAGCTGAGGAGGTCAGGGCAGTGCTGCAGGGGCAGCAGAGGCAGCAGGACAGGCAGTAGCTGGCACAGCCCTGTCTGGAACACCCAAAGTGAAACAGCACTGTTTCACTGGGACAGGAGCTGTGAAGCAGCCTGGTGCCTCAGACACCCTCGGAGCAGAGCATGGGGCAGGGGACGTTTGGGGACTGCACTGACCATCATCCCTGGCTGTCACTGCCCAAAGCTCCCAGGCAGGGCACCCCTCAGTGCACTGCCAGCCCCCGGCCATGCACCCCAGGGCTTGGCACGTGCCTGGGATTCCTGCGGTGCAACTGGCCCAGGCAGCTTCCAGTGCTTGGACTCGTTTTCCTCAGAATTTCTATCCCTAAAGAGCCTTTTATGGTGCAAAAGGGAGAAATCTGGCCTTCTTCTGGCATTTCACCCCCAGACAGCAGGAGGCTGGATGCTACAGCAGTTTAGTTCTGCAAGGGGCTCCCCTGAGTGCCACAAGCAAGAGAAACTCAAACAGCCACGTACAACAGCACAGGTGTGCAGAGGTAGCTGGGAATTTGCACAGCCCACTCGCTGTGTCCTGGTAATTAGTGCCTAGTAATAATCTTACAGACAGAAATATCGTATCTTCCCCCAGGAATGGATGGATGTAGCCTCAAAGGCATTTTTTTGGGTAAGGGACACTGCCAGCTGGGAAACATGAATGCTCCATCTAGAAAGCTCCACCTCACAGTTATGAGCTCAGGCAATGCTAATGATAGTGCAGACCTTCTATAAACTGTAATAATCCATTTTCACAATCTGTCTGCAATTACTCTGCCCTGGGTGTGGAAATTGAGGCAAGGTTCAAGGCCAAAGCAAAAGTTGTGGCAGAGCTGGGGTTTAAGCTAAGGACCTTCACCAGGAAAAATTATGTAGATCTACTGTCTACCCCAAACTGGAGATGAAAGGAGGAGGGAGGAGTTGGATTTACGAAAGGCATCAGGTAGAGAGAGCAGCTCTGCCCTGAGCAAGATACACCAGGAATAAACACTGATGACAACGCTGAGTTACAGTTTACAGGACAGGCATCCTGAATTCCCCTCTCCCAGCGGGTCCAGCTCAGCTGGAAGCTGAGGAGCAGGACTGGGGTTCCACACTGCCAGCAAGCACAACAACCCCTTTCCTGCCCAGCAGCCACACCACTGCAGGGTCTGCTGGCTGAGGGCTCCCTGGAGGAAACCAGCTTCCACATCTTATTTCCTCCAGATCCAAGGTTTCCTTAATAGGAAATTATTCTCTGGCTGCACTGGGGAGGGATGCAGTTCCCCACCAGGGCAGCGGGCGCATTCCAGCCCCTGATTGAAAACACTGCAGAGCCGCTTTTGATCCAAAGTGTAAATAGTGTATAATAAAAAGAGGTTTGTGTAAACCAGCCAAGCTCTTGGGGATCAGTGTTTGCAGCTCCAGCTCCTTATTCACACCGTAGCCACACGCTTTTCCCGGGCACGGCAAAGCTGGTGTTGGGCTGAGTCTGCCCTGCCAGAAGGATTCAAGGCCCCTCACCACCCCAGCCTGTTATTTTTATCCTAGCTGGCCCTGCATGGAGCTTCACTTGCAATCCTGCTGAGTTTTCTCCATCAGCCCCTGAGGCAAATGGGTTTTGTTAAAAAAAAAAAAAAAATCGTGCTCCCCACAAAAGTTTGGAGAAGAAACGGCAGTCAGGAGAGTAAAATGGGGGTTTCTCCAAGGAGTAGAATAGGGTTTGGGAATAGGTGTCCTCCTTGCCTATTTCCCTCCTCTGGTTGATAATGAAGTAACTGATAACTAAACAGGAATTAAAAGGAGTGAGACAGGACAGCCATGGAGTCACAGCCACTGCCCAGCAGCTGAGCAAAGCCTGTGCAGGGTGAGGTTTTCTTGGTGAGGTCAGGTGAAACCTCAAGGACTGTTACAACCACATTTCCCCAAAGAAGAGGAGAGGAGCGAAGGCTCCCAGATCTCTTTTCTCTGCCAGGTCAGCTCTGAGACTGGCAGGAATGCTGCAGGAGGAGTGTACTGCCAACACAGCTCGGACACAGGCAGGGATGTGAGCTGGAGGAGGAGAATTTCCCGTGCCCTTTCCAGGCAGACCCTGAAGCCACTCTTATTTCCTCTCTCTTCCATCCCAGCAGGGACAGCGGAGCAATTACACTCAGCTGCTAAAATTGACAACCCTAATGCATCCCACAAACTTTCCCCAGAGCCACACTGAGGGCTCCAGGGCCAGACTGTGTTCTGCTGCAGCCCGAGTTTGTCTGGGATGCATCTTACTGCTCGTGAGCCTGCTGGATTATCATCATCAAACCCTCTGTTTCTCAGGCTGCCCCATCAATGCCCAGCACTTCTGACAGCCTGGCACAGCATCAGGACGCTCCCCATCCTGCTGTGTGCCAGGGCTGGTAACAATTCCTACTGCCCAGGGCTGGTAACAATTGCTAGACCAGGGCTGCAGGGGGACAGGAGAGGGGATGAGAAAAGGGACAGCTCCCAAACACACGGGATGGGGACCATCCCCACGGGAACCTGCGTGCTGGAGCTCCAAGCACCCACCTGGATGCCGCAATCTCTGACTTCTGCCGGGCAATGGCTGCGGCCCTCTGAGCCCCCTCCACGCTCCTGTCCACCTTCTGCCGGATCTTGGCGCTCTTGAGGGGTATCACACGCTTCTTCATGCCCTTGACCAGGACATTGTGGCGGTACTTGCCCTCCTCCTTCTTGCCGTCGGGCAGCGTGGTGCAGCCGTAGCCGTGCCGCAGGTTGTCCAGCCACTCGCCCTCGTACTTGAGCCCGCTGGAGCGCTCGCTGACGCCGAAGCCGGCGCGTTTGTCGTTCTTCCACTCGCCCATGTAGGTCTCCGTGGTGGTGGCGTCGATGTCGGACTCGAAGGGGGTGTACTCCTCGCCCTCGGCGCCCTCGCCCAGGCTGACGGTGGAGGTGGCATCGCTGGCGGCCGAGCTGATGCCGCTCTCGCTCTTGAGGAAGCTGACGCGGCTCTTCTGGCTGGCCAAGGACGACTTGGACTCGGACTTCTTCAGCTTGCCCAGCAAGGAGCCCCTGCGGAAGAGCCCCCCTTTCTTGGCCTTGCCGGCCTCGGCGTCCGCGTAGAGGCTGAGGGCGAAGCCGCCGCGGGTGATGGTGGGCGAGAGGGGCAGGCTCTCGGGGTTGGCGGCGGGCGAGTCCTGCTGGGGCAGGGTGCCGTTGCTGTGCTCGCTGCGCAGGGAGGACAGCGAGGTGCGCAGCGGGGAGCGCACCACGGAGGCCATGCCATAGGGCACGCTCTGCCGCACGCCGTAGCCGTGCCGCATGCCGTTGGTGAACTGGCCCTGGTACGTGCCTGCGGGAGACAACACGGGCAGCGTGAGAAAGCAGCTTGGTCCTGGGAGAGAGAAGGGAGCTGAGCTGTGGGGTTGCACTCAGCTCCACTGGTGCTCACCCGCGTGCGAAAGCATCAGTGCCTAGGGAGCAGAGGACACCAGCCCAAGAGCTTCTGCTGGCAGGGGACAGCTCGTTTCAAAGGGATTGAGGCACAGGAGGACGCTTTGCAAACCCAAAGCCACTTACTGTACAGGATCTGGATTTTCATCCAGAGAATGGAGCAGGAAGCAGCCCACAGGGGTGGAGTTTGGGCTGTGCAGAGGGTGGCAGCAGCCCCAGCGGGCATGTGAGTTGTGGTGGCACATCTGACCTTGGCATGGTGACAGTCCCTTTCAGCCTGTCCTGCAGTCTGTCACTTGCAGGCTGCCAGGACCAGCTCTAGGCCCCTTAGTCAGGATCCCACATGTCCATGGACTGCCCTGGTGCCTGAAGCCACATCTCCTTGGCGCTGACTTATGGCTTTTCTGAGTTGCCAACATCAAGGTTTGCGCCACACTGCACAAAGCAAGAGATGGGCAAAAAAGGGAGGAGGGAAGCAGCTTTGTGTGGGGCTCCTTCAGCTCTGCCCCAGAAAGCACCACCCCTCCCCACTCCTCCAGACCCAGCTGGAGTGGGCAGATGGTGTCATATGATGGGAGACACAGAAAGGACCATGGCCAGGGCTGCACCATGGGTACAGGACCCTGCTAAGAACCAGCAGGACTTTGGCAGCGACACCTTGAAGGACTGGGACTTCTCCTTTCCAGATCCCCTGATCCCAAAGGTGAGCACATTTACAGGCTCCAGCAGAGTGGAGACTTCCAGTTTGACTTTTCTCACCAGGATGTCAAGAGACTTAAATCAGCTGCATCAGGGGCCCCACAAAAAGAGCTCCTGGGAAGGGCAGGGGGCTGGTGGGGCAGGAGGCAGCCTTCAGCCACAGCACCCACCATACCAGCACAGGGGAGGTCAGAGCATCCCTGAGCCCTGTGGGATGGGATGGGGTGGGATGGAATGGGGTGGGATGGGATGGGATGGGATGGGATGGGATGGGATGGGATGGGATGGGATGGGATGGGATGGGATGGGATGGGATGGGATGGGATGGGATGGGATGGGATGGGATGGGATGGGATGGGATGGGATGGGATGGGATGGGATGAGCCATCTTCCCAGCCTGGCTCTCACCAGTCTCTAGAAGCAGTTGCCTCAGAAACCAGCAAACCACCCAAAACAAAGGCAGCATTCCGTTCTGCTCCTGGCATTGCAGGACCTGGAATGGGCCACCCCAGACCAGCACCCTGTGGAACAGAGGCTGCCAGCAGCTCCCTCAGCCTGGATCACAGGCAGGGGGTGATGGGGGAGCACAAATGCTTTTGGAAAGGCCACTCTATTCCTTTAGTCTCCAGGTGCTGCTTTGTGTAAGTGAAGGGTCAGCTGTGCTGGGGGTATTTTCACAGACATCTGTCCTAAACCTGGTTGGCAAAAAGCAGTCACCTACCAGAAGACATATATTTTGGGAGAGCAGGCACTCCCATGGTTCTGGGGAGACTCAGCTGGGCTGGGCTGAGATAGAAGGGGGTGACCCATCTTCAAGGCATTAATCTCCCCCCTCAGACACTATTACTGAGCCCAGGGATGACCCTGCTCCCCAAGGAGCAAATCCAGTTCCTTCTTTGGCGATCGTGGGAGTGCATATTTTACAGTCTCCCAGGCCACTTCTGCAGCATAATCTCTCCTCCCAAGCTTCAGGTTTCGTTGAAATCCTCTTTGGACCTGCCTGTGGAGTGTTAACTTACAGTGCTGAGGGCCAGGAAAGACAAGAAGTGCCCAAGTGAGCAGCAGCTGCTGCCCTGGGTGAGCTGCCCCCAGCCAGCCCCTGCCCACCCTGTGACACAGGGGATTATGGGGTCCCTGTAAACAGTTGGTCTCCCCTACAGAAATGTAGGGGTTCAGGTTGTATGTGGCATCTGCAGATTTCAGCCAGCCATGGGGAGCCATCTGTCAGAGCAAGGGGTCATTTTCCATTTTCTTCGATGAGTTTAAAGCTCTTCTGAGGAAAAACAAGTAAAAATAAGCATGGGTTTGGGCACGAGTCGGGAGTCAAGGACCATCACTGGAGATCCCAGGCATCTGGGAATGTTGCTCACCATGCTCCTAAATCCCTCTCCATGAAACGATGATGAGTCTTCCTAGTGCAAACTGGAGTTACAGAGACCCCCACAGTGCCCCCATGTCCCTCCCTGGTGAGGTCAGTGCTCCATCCCACCCGCCCAGCCAGCGAGCAGGGCTGACACATGATCAGGGTGACATTGGAGACCTTCTCCTAGATGGGAACAACTTCACACGTATCAGGCTGCAGCTGGTAATGCCGCCATGTTAATTCCCTGGAAAAGGAACTCTGGAAAATCTTGCAGGTTAAGGGGGTTCAGTCACTCCTCAGGGGTCAGGTCAGAGCAGCTGCTGCACTCCAGCAAATCCCCCTCTGTCCCCCTCAACTGCACCAGAGCCAGCGGGGTGGGAAAGCCACATGGCACAGCGGGTCCCCGGGCAGCAGGGATGGAATGCCACCCTCAGTGCAGCGTTCAGCTCTGCAGGCTGCTCTCTGCTCCCTGATTTCAGCCCCTACAGCACCAACGTTCTCCTGTGACCAGAGCTGCCAACCCGCCTGGATGAACGCAGGGCACCGACACAGTGCTGCCACAGCTGCCCAGCCAAGGCGGGGGCGAGCAGGCACTGCCATGTCCCTGTCCTGCTGCCATTCCCTGCCCAGCCGAGGCTCCGTGCCAGGGCAGGGCCATAAAGCAGCCCTGGAGAGGAGCCAGAGGCTGCAGGGAGCGGCTGGAGGCGGCCGTGCCGTGCGTCAGGGCACGCAAGGCTTGAGCAGAGCCAAGCCCTGCCTCACCAGCACGGCCCAGTGCAGGCACTCCACAGAAAATGGGGCTCTGCAAAATCCCCCTGCAGCAGGGCTGTACATCCCCCAGCCACCCCCACACCCCAGTTCTGACACAGCCTGGGCAAGGGGGCACGGGCAGCACGCAGATCTGCCAGCCAGGCTGCCACGGGCTCATGCACTGCTGAGGTTCTGTAAAAAATCATTTAAAAGCTGTGGAATTTAAAAGATGTGGAACAAATAAATCTCTCTTTAGGATAGGGAGCCTACTTCCCTGCCTCCCTCATCAGCGCTGGTGATTTATCAGGGCAGCGGGACTGAGACACCTCATCTCATCAGGGTGTGATTAGTAGGGGACAGGGGCCGAGTAATCCTTTATTGGCTGCATTTTTACTCGTCCTAATGATGAAAACTGCTCCTCTGCAGCCCCCAGGAATATGATTCATCACCTCTGCGCAGCCCCAGCCAAAAGCAGGTGATGCTGCCTGGGTAACTTCATAGGATGGGAAGGATTAAATTGTGGGATCAATGGAAATGACATCCCTGCAGCCTTCACCTCCAAGCACTCCAAAGGGGTGTCAGCACCCTCTGCTTCACCCCAGCAGCATCCAGTGCAAAAGCTTCAGCTCCCAGTGCCCTCCAGCCCAGCAGCAAGATGCCATCACCAGCAGTGACACACTTCCCCTTTCCAGCCTGTCTCAAGGCTCCCATATAATTAGTGATGAATGTAAATAATACAAACAACCACGTGAATAATGCAAACAGCTCAAATCGCTTCCCTGCCCTACAGTCCCCTGCTGTCATCCAGATACTGCGATGACAGGCAGGGTAGAACTCAGTGTGAATGGCCAGGGACATTTAAATGATGCACAGCACCATGTGCAGGACAGGCCAGCAAAAACAGAGTGCTGCCTTTTGGTGCCAGCAGTACTGTCTGGTGGGTTCTTCTGGAAAAGAAAGGGATAAAAAATTCACTATATTAATTCATGGGTCACACTCAGCTTTGCTACAGAGGCAGCAGATGAAAGCCAGCACCATCGTGGCTCTCCCAGGCTCCTTTCCTCCTTTCTCAGCCACAATCCCATGGATGCTCCTTCTGTCCTGGTCCAGGCCCCTTTCCACTGCACTTGCCCTGCCACAGGAAAGAGTTGTACTGCTCCCTATCATCCATTTCCTCTCCCCAGTAAAGCACTTCTGCATTTCTTTTCCCCTCTTCTGTGGTCTTGTGATCACTGACTGGTCTAATTGTTTCCTCGTGGTTAATTGACACCCTGTTTCCTTAGCACCGTTGAGAACAAATTGCAGTATCAAAAATAAGTTTGTTTTAGGCTGCACTGATTGGAAGTGATGTTTTTTTTTCCCTCCACACATATAAGCAGTTATTTGCACAACAAAGCCAGGCTTTGGGCTGGACCATGGATATGCAGCATGATTCAGTGAGCGTTTTTTCTGCAGTAAGACTTGACTCAGAGTTTTGACTCACAGTCAAATGCGCAAAAGTATCCAAAAAATGAGGCCTTCCTTACAGCATGGACAAAACTCACTAGGCAAAGCCAAATAACTACATGTTTACTCATAGCTTATGTTGCAGAACAATGAGTTCCTTCATGCTATGCCTTCCACAACCCCACTCACTGTATGCTTCAGCCAGAGCATTCTGCCCCTCTAAAGGGCTCTGAGCTCTCCCCTGGTGACAGCAGCACACAGAGTATATCCAGCTTGGATACACAGAGAGATATATCAGAATGTCACTGTATCTGCACAGCCACACCAGGAGCTCTGAACCCCTTGGCTGATTTCAATCCCCTTAAAGCCATCAGTCTCCCACAGCTTTCACAAAAATAGGCTTTTGGTAGTGGGGGGAAAAGCAAATAACCCACACAGTGCCTGGGCTAAACTGTACCATAACCCTGGTTCTTAATGACACTAAAAATCTATATGGATTTCAAAAAGCTTCACTTTAGATTTAGGCTTTTTTAAAATCTTGGACAGACACAAGATTCAAACACAGACAACTCTATAAGAATATTTTAAATGTATTTTGGAACGTAAATTTTTATGTATGTCTATATATATATATGTATATATAAAAAGTTAAAGTCTATTTTAAAACATCAGAATCAGCTACATTTCCCTGAAATCTGCAAACAGTCCAACCATGACCTAAAGTTTCTAATGACCTGGCAAGGACTGCACATTCCCAGAGCCCTTTTCCTCGTGTGGCTGGCTTCCAAGGGGCTTGGGAATCGTGTCCCCTACTCAAGGGACAGCAGATATCCAAAGCCTTTCCAGATGTCTATCTTGGCAACCTCAAATTCAAACATGAACAGGTCCCATTAGCAGTCTGGCCACATCTGGATCTTGCAGGTGGTTGCTGTGTGCAGGTGAGGAGAAGAAACAGGAAAAGGTCTTGCAGGTCAGTGAGACCAGTGAGACCATTCCACCTCCATCCTTCAGATGTGATGCTGGATGGTGATCCCTGGCTTTGGCTGCAGTTTTATCCACGTTGCTGTGCCATCAGAGAAGCTCATGTGTTGAATGAGCAGCTCAGATCAGCCAGGGTGTGATGACCCAGCACATGGAGCAGCCACTGGGCACCGCAGCACAACCCTCATGAGCTCAGTGTTTTGGCAGGGCACATCTTCATGGATCAGGGCTACACTGCCAGCCTCCAGTGGCACCAGGGACCAAGCAGCTGGCACGTTCTTGGGTGAGGGACAAACACCCTGTGGAGCACTGTGCTGACAGAGCAGGATGTTCCATATCCCTGCAGGAGAGAGCACTGGCTCATCTCTCCCGTTCTTCTGTCCCATATCTAATCAAACCCCTATGTCAAGTCTTGCTACTCAAAATTCTCCCCCAGAACATTAACTGGAATTCCAGTAGCCCTTCACCCTTAGAAGGATTTGCATTTTAGGAAGCAGCAAGGAAGCAACCGTGCAAATTCAAAGGAGACCTTGACATCTCCAGAATGAAATTCCCAATGGCAGCTGCTGCTGACAGTTACCTGATTGCTGCTCTTTACTCATCAGAGCACATCTTCCATGTCACCTACTCCTCTTATGGCCTCACATGAAGGCCACAACCTGCACACAACCTGCACCCATTAAACCATTCCATGGCCACAGGACAGAAGGGGCAAAAATTTAAGGAGCTGGAGGGATGTGTCAGTTTGTGTCTGTACCTACAACATCTAAGGGCACAAGGAAAATGGGCCAACTTCAAGACTGTGTTCTCAATCTTAAAGTTAGCCACAAATCCAGACAAGTCATTGAGAAATATTTAAGAAAAACATAGCTCTGAAAGCCAGTCTTAAATTAGTCAATTTTTCTAATGTCTATAAATGTGATGCTTTTCATTCTGAGGATTTATATTAATTTTGCTTTATAAACTAACTCCAGTGCCTGTCCTAGACAAATATAGATACAATTTTCATCCATATTTTGAAGGGTATTTCTTTCAAATCACCCTCTCTATTTGGCTATCCTAAATGTGGCAGCCTGGAACATTACAATGCTGAAGAGCTACTAAATTACTTGCACAGAAATTCTTGCCATGTTTCTAACCCCAGAATTGCCACTAATGCAAGAACACAATTAGACCAAGCATTTACACAGCACAACAAATATCTGACTACGTGGTGCAGTTGTATAGTGGTGGAGGTTGAAACCTTCCACATAACCAGAGGGATTTATTTTAGGGAATATGTGTGGCTACATATTCTAAACACCTTAGACAGCCTCAATCAAAAGTCTTTGGCAAAGCAGATGTGCGGGCAGCTCATCAGAGGCATGCAGGCAGTGTTTGATGCATAGGGAAAGCGTGCTGGGATGCTGTGGGTGGCTTATATCCGACACAGGAACATTCACAACTCGCTGCCTGGTGAGCGAGCACACAGCTCGCTGCTGTGGTGCACCAGCTGGGATTTTCTGGGTTGGTTCAGCCAGAAGCTGCAGTAATCAGTCCCTGTGGAACCAGGAGTCAAAGACTACACAAAATCAAGTTGGTTGGCATCAACTGCCAAAAGAGACACTTAAGGGCAGCTTGGGGCAATCCTCCCTCACGTCTGCAGACAGTGAGCTGCACATTCTGTGCCCAGCTGGGAAAATCAGGGCACGCACATGGACGAGATGGCTGAGGCCAAGCTCCCCTTCTTGACTGAAGCACCCCAACAGCTCATTGTAGAACACTGTGCTGCCTAGTGGGAACAGGACCAGGTCAGCCCTTCAGCAGAGACAACATGCAACCTCTGTTGGCACAGGCTGGATGTGACACTGCTCATCCCCCTCCCATTCTGTCTGGAGGCACCCTTACCTCCGTCAGCGTAGGTCTCGGTGCCGTAGCCATCCTGCAGGCCATTGTTCCATGTACCCTCGTACTTGGCTCCGCTGCTCATGCTCTGCCTCGCGCCGTACCGTCCCTTAAAGCCATGGGTCCACTCGCCTCTGTAAACCCACCGTCCTTTGGTCTCGATTCCCAGCCCGTGCCTCTTGCCTTGGGACCAGTAGCCTTCGTAGGTGTTGCCACTGGGCCACGTGTATATGCCCACCACCTCGAAGCCGTAGTTCCAGGAGCCCGAGTACTCGCCCTGGCCCTTGGGGCCGGTGCAGATGCCGTGCCCGTGGGCTTTGCCCCCCTCCCAGCCCCCGCAATAGGCGCCTCCATCATCGAAATCAAACCTGCCGCCGCTCATGGTGCCCTCCGGTGCCCCTCAGCCGGGCAGCGTTCCCAGGGGCAGCGCTCCGGGGCTCCCGCATCCCCGGAGGGAACGGGCTGGGCGCCGAGACCGGCCGCTCCTGCCTCGCCTGGCCCGGCCGAGGGGCTGGGGCACGGCAGGAGAGAGAAATTGGACGAGAGGGAGGGGAGAAGGGCGGGCCGAGCTCCAGCCCCCCCCGTGGGGGCAGCCACTCCGGTACCTGCCCCGCGGGCACGGGCATGGGCCGCCCGGGGAGCCGCCCCGAGGAGGAGGGAGGGATGGAGTCCCGATCCCCGCGGCGGAGAAGGGATGGGGGTCCCGATCCCCGCGGCGGAGAAGGGATGGGGGTCCCGATCCCCGCGGCGGAGAAGGGATGGGGGTCCCGATCCCCGCGGCGGAGAAGGGATGGGGGTCCCGGGCCGGCCGCTCTCCCCTGCCCGGCCGCTGCCGCCCGCCCCGTCCCGCTCTCCTCCCCCGCCGGGAGAAAGGTCAGCGCTGCCCTAACAAGGCCATCGGATCCCAGGAGCTGCTCCCAAAAATAACCCCCCCTGCAGCCCGGCCCCCGCCTCGGGGCCCTTTTATGAAGGAGGGGAGAGACACATCCCACCCCCCCTCCGCCGTCCCCCGCCCCGGGCAGGGATCCAGGCGGAGAAGAGGCTGGGAAAGTAAATGTCTGCTTAAAATAGAGCCTGGGAAGGGGCCGCCGCTCCCCCGGGCCGGCAGCCGCTGTCCCGCTCCGCCGGAGCTCCGCGGGATGCGGGGACGGAGCGCCCGGGGCCGGGTCACTCACACCGTGTGTAACTGGGCAGAGGTAGAACAGGGAGTTAGAGCACAGCAACAGCTCACTCAGCCCCTCTGCTACTTCCCAAAGTGACCTTCCAGAGCTGCTTTAGGGCAGTCAAAGAAGTTCAGTAGTAGTAATTTACCCTTCTCTCCCAAACAACGAACTTCCCAAATTTCCTTCTGTTTAATAGCCAGCAGCATAATTCAGTCTGTGTGTGGAGAAGATGGTAGAGAGTTTCAGACACACGGAGCGCGACAGGACACCTCGTGTGCAATAATGTCATCAAATACAGATGGCAGGGGACAAGGACTGAAAGGCCAGGCTGATCCAAGCCCTCTCTTCTTCCAGCACACCCATCCCGCTCCTAAAGACACTGTCCCAGCAAGACCACGGAGAAATGCCCCTCCCTTACTGACCACTACACTGAGAAGCTGCAGGAGCTGTGGGGTGTTATCAGCCTTCCAGGGGAGATCCCAAAACCCCACCAAACTCTGGAGCAAAGCTGCCACAGACAGTGGTGGGTTCGGACTCAGTTTTTCAACTTTCAACCTCCACACTGGCATTTCTAGGAAGGAAAGGCACAGAGGAAGCACACAATATGTAACTGCAAGAGAAGCTCTGTGTATGGACGGCACATAAACAGAACACCTGCAAGCACAGGTGAGAAGGACCAAGTTAGAAAGTTAATTACACAGGGCTTCACTTTTATTCAGCCACAGGAAGGAGTGAGCTCTTTGGTAAGGGACTCCAACATGAGTCAGACGTGCCACTTGGCAGAACCAGCCCACTAAAGCCTTCTTTAAAAAAAAAGTCAGATTTTGAAATTGGCTCAAGTTAATTTTTTTTTGTTGTTTTAAACTAAGTTTTTAGGCTACTTAGGCAAGTTTTCAGGGTTCTTGCTGCATGATTAAGGGCCATAAATTCACATTTTCTCAAAGCAAAACCAGGTTTTGCTTTACGGTTTCTGCGAAGACCAAAACATCTGAAAACAACTTGTGGTAACAGAAGAGAAAGCGTTAAGGCAGCGGTTGCAGCAACTCATGGTCTTGTATTCCACGGTGTTCCAGCACTTACAAGCCCAAAGATGTTGTAACTGTCCCAAGAGGATGCCAAGTTCAGGACTATGTAATTATTTACTTAGCAACTTTTCCTAATTACACAGCACAGTTGTGAACTGATTGCACACTTTGTTTAAACATTAATAACTTATGCAGATTTTGACATTTAAAGAGCTTTTGTTGACCACCAACAAACCCACACAAACTTCAGAAAGCACTGACAGTCTGTGTGCACAAAGGCACCACACAGAAATAAGAGGCACCAAAGAAATAAGAGCTGCTCTTATTTTTTCGTTTTGGCAGAAAAATTCCCATTCTCCCCAAAGACTGAGCCTGCTGCAGCAGCCAGCCCCAGCCTGGGGCTGACCTCTAGTGGCACTGCTTGTGTCCCTTCTCAGTCAGCACCAGCTCACGTTTTTCTACTATTTTTACATCTCCTGGATTTCAGTCCACTTTAACACAGTACTGAGCAGTGGGCAGTGCAATCCTAAACCCTGCAGTACAGGTCTGTGGTCACTAAAGAATGAAATGGTAAAAGCAGTGCAGTCTTGAAAGGCACTTTCCGCCCCATGACAGTGCTGTGGTTGGAATTTGCAATTGAGATCTGTTAAGAATAATTATTTGAGAAATAAAGTAATTCTGCACTTTGCAGCCCAGTTTTGTAGACAAGTTACCAAAAAATTGCCTTGAATTCAGAACACAGGTGGCAGAAATGCAGCTATTGCAGAGCACAGAAAGAGATGTGGGACACAGGTAAGTTCTGCATGGTGTAGGTGACTCTTCAGGACTGGCAAAGCAGGTGAACTTACATGGCCACTTGTTCTGAGACACCGGGTGCTGCCACAGAAATTGCAAAAAAAAAACCAAAAAAACAAGAGAAACACCAAATGACTTTGCAGGAAAATGTTTGTCTCCATTCCTTCTCCACATCTTGTACGTCAGGAAGTTGAGGTACCACAAATAGTAAAGACAAGCCAAATGCAACTTTTCTCACCCCCAACCAATTATATTATTTGATGGGATGCTCCTTTGCTAGACACTCATAAAAGAGACACTGTGTTGATGCACACTGTGTATGGAGAGCTGCCTGCTTCTGAAGCAGTAAATTCCAGGAGAATGCAAAGCTGGGCAGGGCAGCTAAAGTGATACAGTTTAGCAAGACTGTAGTGGAGACACTGCTCAAGACTTCCCTACAAGTGACAACTGTTCACTCCAGTCTATGGGTTTTAATGCCTGAAGGAAGGATAATACTTGGTCCTATAGAGTAGGATAAAAAGAAGCTAAAAACCCCCAGAACTGACAGACAGTGTATGAATTATAGGAGTTGTTATATGTAACTGTATATATGCAGTTACATATTGTGTACTAAAATGTGCAAATTCTGGTTTGGTCACCATAACAAATACAGTGAGCAGAGCCCTTGCCCTCACTTTTCCTTTGGTTAACCACAGCAGCAGCTCCCCTGAAGAATGCAGGGTGTTTCTCTTGCAGCACAAGTCTCTTAGGCCTGTTGGAAATTCAGTGAAAGGTTTGCTTTCCACTTTTCCAGTAATAATACTACCTAGGGGACGATAGGAGATGGTCACACTCCTTTCTGAAATAAAATCTGAGGCACAAGCATCCAAAACCACAAGCCTGAGTCTTACAAGGTGAGGTCAAACTGATTTCAAAGGAGCTGAGTGACACCAGGTGTCTCACAAGAAGAGCTCTTATCACCAAGCAATCTAGGGACTCCAACAAAGCAAAAAGAGGATTTTGGAAACAAAGCAGAATTAGTGTTGGGTCTCTTAAGTACAGGCAGATAGGCTCTAGGTTCATTTACCACATTATCTATTCCAAGCTTAAATTATAATGCTGAAACTAAACTGTTTGTCCAGCTTAAATAATCAACATCAGCTGAGATGCAAAGAAGTGTTTTTATTGCAAGCACAGTGAGCAGGGAGTGGGTTGCATATTCACATGATGTGCCTGAGGGCAGATTTAAATCAGCCACTCTTCTGGTTTTAGTGCTGCTGCTGTCAGGTGTACATCATTTCTGCCATGTGAGACATTTTCTTTGGAATATACAAGTAATACTCCATGTATCCCGAAAGATCTTCAATTGTCACATCATCCACAAAGGCCCTGGCTTGCTCAGAGCAAGAGCGTGGAGAACTTGAGGGAGTTCTTGATGGCAAAGGCTGGGAGTGATCCTCAGAAACCGTTCTATCAGGTGCCAGTGGGAGGGTGTTCTGCAAGCCAGAGAATTTGTACACTTCCATATCTTGCCACAGTTTGCACTGACAGGTTTTATCTGCACATGCACACGGCTCACTCGTGTTCAGCTTGGACATAGACTGGAAGTCAGAAAGCTCTGTAGTCTTTAGGCTTGTTCTGGACACTGGAGAAGCTGCAGCTGGAGAGTTCTCCTGTGTGTTCTCTGCTGTCAAGTGTGCAACAGAAACTCCTAAAGACTCCTCAGTTCCCTTCTGGCCAACATCCAGAGCAACGATGCAGTGTTCGTGTGCACAAGCTTCCTTTGGGACTGGCATCCCAAACCCACTGCTGTCCTCCTGGGCATCAGCCTGGCTCTTCTGCACCACCTGGCTGCACGTGGAATGTGATTTTGTGCTGCAATGGATAAACTTTGGAGGATGAAGAATTGGAGATTTGGAACGCCTGCGACGCTGGGTTCTCACAACTCCTCTCGAGGGCTTCTTCACAGACCTGCAAGGGAAAGACAAAAAGGGAATGAAGATTTACCAAAATACTTATTGTTGGGTAATAAGTAACAGTGGGCAAAATCTCTCCTGCATTTGTATTGCATGCACAAGCTTTAGGTTTGGAGTGTTTGCTCACATTAGTCTGCTGTCTTGGAATTTGACTTAGCTCTAGACAAGCAGTTGTATAAAATATAAAAGGAACACTACAGAAATGCATCCCAGAGAGTGGGCTTTAAAGGTGAGAAAATGAGTAAAGCATGTGAGACATGACAAAATAATCACTACAAGAACGACAAAGCACAAGAAAAGAGCACAGCACTAATGGATCAAGGGCAAAGGATGGTTTTGTTTCAGATGAGCATGAAGCTCTGCAGAGATACTCTAGAAACCAATTCTTTATTTTAATCTGGTTTTCAAGGCACAATGACACCTTCTGCAGTGTCAAACAATGATTTAAAGAGATGCATTCATGATTGATTCAAAACCAGCAGCTCACATTTGCATTGAGAAATATCTACAACATTTAGCCACCTATGAGTGACCAGCATCTCCTTTCACTTCACCTAACTTAAAGAACAGCAGTCATATATAAAGAGAAAAAGCTGGTGTGAGTATTTTATAAAGCTCTTTGCTACAGGCAGCTCAGGTCTCTTGTTTAGAGGGGCACCAACTAGAAACTGTCTACTTAATATTCATTTTCAAGGCAGTATCATTGCAAATAGTCTGATAATCCCAAGCTTCTCTTACCCATGCCAGGTTTCCTTAGAAGCACACACATTCTTAGGTTTTGTTTCATCTGCCACTGTTCTAACTATTGCTCTGGGACTTGTCCCATCACCCACAGAGAGAGAAGTGGTACATCTGTGAGAGACAGAATGAAGAGTTAACAACCTACACTGGTTAACGTTATGATTATGAAAACCAACTTTTGTGCATCTTATTTCCCAGAAAATACTGCTCCAAATCATTTAGAATACAGCTTAAAAGACCTGCCCACAAAGACCCAAATCAGCAGGATGAGTGTTGACACACTCCTATGCCCAGGGTTTGTGTAACAGACCCTCTGACCGAGAGATGCCGTTCACAGCCCCACGTGTCAGTGACAAACCCACACAATGGCCAAATTTCAGCTTCCCAGGAGAGGGGAAGGCAGAAACATCATCACTGAAGAAACAAGTCTCTTTTTCCAGAGACAAATAAGCCATTCTTTCCTAAAAATAAATGTTCTTTGGACATAAATAGACTTTGTTTAGCTGAAGAACACTTAAGCCTCTGTCTAACAGAGCCTGTCAACATAAGCTAAAACTCTTCATACTCCTGCAAGTTGAATCATTTGAGCCACAGAGTTGTGTCAGACCTTCAGCTTCTATTCAAGGCAGGGGCCTTAGTAGATTTACTAATTTTTTTGGTGCTATGAATTCATTTCACACTCCCATTTTGAAGGACCCACAATAACCTAAGAACAATTCTTTCAAGTTGTAACTTCACATATTAGACTGGAAGTCCCAAGAAAATTATTTTCCAAATCCTATGCTAAATCAGTTTGTACACAGGACAGATTCCCTGAAAAGTGAAAATGAGTCCCCACACACTGATCTAGGATGGGGTTAAGAGAATCCAAATTATTAATAAAACTAATTTCCATTTAAAGGACAATGAATATAGAACACAGGATCAAAAGGCACCAGTAAGAACTCCAAAGTAATCAACTCTGCCCAGCTGAAGGATGGTACTAAAGATACTGAAGAAATGAGAGGTAATTCACTACTAATGAGTTTAATTATTTAAACAAAAGATAACTTTAGAAGCCCATCTACTTGCAATCTCAGCTCTGTGCTAATTCTAGTTATCACCTTGATGTTGCCTTACCTACCCTTTCATTTCAGTGACAGTGTAATTGCATCACTGAAAACAGCTTGTGGGATCCCAGATTCTACAATGGTGCACATTTGTCAGCAGAAAAAAAACTGTTATATGGAAGCCTTCCTTTATTTAATTTCAGGTAAAAATTATCATTACCAACAGAAGACGTGTAGTGCTTGTGTTCTGTCACCTGGGACAGTGAAAGTAGGTGCCATGTGTCAGATCTCCAAACCAAGACAACACAAAAAGCATTCTTTCCCATTTAGTGATTCTGATTATAAATAGAAATTTTGTGACAGCAATGAAAATAGTTTGTGTGGGAATCAGGCACTGAATCTAACGCTCTCCCTTACTGACATGGAAAGAAAGTTTCTCTCCTGGGAAAATATGTGATTTTATTCTCATGACAGGCCTTCAGGACCATGGTAATATCCTAATTTTAACAGCAGAGTTCTAGTCCTATAGACTCTAGTACTGGTAACCTCTGGCAGCCAGATTCATGCCAAAATTCATTTCAAGCACATTGTCAGCTTATCATGATTGTGAGGTTTCTTTCAAACCTGCTGCAAGCTGACAACAATCAAACAATTTACAATTCCTTAAGAAGTGCAGTCTGCAGGTAGTGAATTTATCTCACTCTGTTTAACTACAATGAAAGCTTTCTGTCCCTAACCTTTGGCAATTACCTCATTCCCTCAAATTTCACAGCAAGGGTGTTCCCTTTGAGTCCATTTGTAAGATGTTAAGTCTGTGCCTCCCTGTGGTGTTACTCACCCAGCTGTGTCAACTCTCAGCTTTTTGAATGCTGTCTGCAGGCTTTCCTCTTCTCCATCCTTAGCTTCTGATTTCATCATTGGGATGGCCAGGAGGTGATGGAATTACCATGTACTGCTACAATCAGAAAAAAAAGACACATGAAAATAAGGGCCAAATCCTTGTTAAAAACATTAGTTGCCTAGCAGTGCCATAATACATGAAAATAAACTCAAAATAGCACACTGAGCACACAAAGCTGAGGTCATTCTAGTAGAATATTTTTGAAAGCTGACTCAGAACAAGCTTTAAGATACCCAAGAATGAAATGAACAGTCTCTTGTACAATTGTAGGTGAATTAACAATTCAAAGTCAAATTTAGTGGCAACAGCATTTTGCACATACATTACAGCCCAGCCAAACTCTTCCACTTGTCTTACAGTGCTACCAGAACAATTGTAGAAGAGGTGAAAGTGAGAAGGAACAACACTATTAAAAACAATCAACCTTCTACAACTCTTCTTTCCAAATTTGGGACACAGTGTTACACATACACTTTAAAAAAAACAAACCAAGAGATTTTTCTTAAAACAAGATAAAGTTTCAAGCCAGACAAAAGTTTTTGACCTTATGTCTAGGTCCCAGCAACAGTTACACAGTCCTATCAGAACATGGTGTTATGGTTACAAATGGTTGTTAAAATTTACCAGTATCAGCTTGTGAACAAGTAAAAATGCAAACAAATACAAAAAGTAATCAGAAAGCCTTGCTTTAAATTTAAAAAAAAAAAAAAAAAAAAAAGGCGGATGTATTTTTTTTTAATCTACCCTGGCCATCATTTAATCTAGTGCAAAGGACCTCAAATCTTTCTAAATTTGATGCTCTTTGGGTTTGCTGGAGAACAGGCCCCAGCGGTGTATCCCAGGGACAGGGCTGTCCAGTCCTGTTTAACATCTTCATTAATGGTCTGGATGATGTGGCAGGGTACCCTCACCACGTCAGCTGATGTCACCAAACTGGGATGAATGGCTGAAACACCGGTGGGACCTCAACAGGAACCTCATGAACTTCAGCAAAAGGAAGTGCAAAGCCCTGCACAAGCTGGTTTTGCATCAAGGAAAAGAACTCTCTCCTCACTGAGACCTTTTCTGTCAGCAGCTGTGCAGCTCAGTCACTCATGCAGAGGGATGGGGACAATCTCTGTCTCCTTGTCCTCTCCTTGCAGCTGGAGGTGGCAGCTCTCCCTCTCACTGCTGCTCTGTGCTGTGATTTCACCTGGCTGCCCTGGATTGCACACAGATATTATGACACACACAAAAGGATAATGTATCATAACATTTTCAAGGCACATGGTGTCCAATGAGTCAGCCAGGGAGTAAACAGGAGAGGAAGTTTAAACACTGACAACATGATGCTCATCTGAGCAAGTTACTATTTCGTATTTTTCCTTAGCCAAATATTACTGCTCTGGTGAAAAAGATGGTCTCCACTTTTATTCCTTTGCCCCCCAAGTCATCCTCAGATGATTCTTTGAAATGAAAAAAAAAACCAAAAAAAGTCAGGCTATGTAAGTTTGGGGTTTTTTTTAACAGCAAACTCCTGTATTACACAGCCGTACCAAAAAGATGAAAGTAAAAGTTTTAAAGTCACTGTACATTACTCCAAACAGAGTACCAGTTTTTAGACTAAATATTTTATCGTGCTGCCCTTCATCACCAACACTGTAAACCCTCAAAACAATGCAGAATTTATTTAGATAAAAGTCTCACTGGGTGACAACAAAGTATAAGCTTAGGCATTTTAGATGCACGCGCCAACAAGCGTAAAAAAAAATCAATTACTGTGAAAACCAGCTAAAGTTTACCGCGTTAAAAAGCACACTGAAACTTACGGTTTTTACCTCCCAGGAAAAAACACACCTTTCCTTTTCCATTTTATTTTCGGCTATTTCCCCGCACCACCGCACTAGGAGCCCAGCCGAGCGCGGCGCGATGGGACACGGCACGGGCAGCTCCATCCCCGCGGGCTAACGACGGGCACGGGAAGGGCTGTCACAACCGGGCGTTCCGGGCCACGGCCCACGGGACACGAACTCGTGTACGCTCCGTTTTTAGTTGATATTATTTTAACTCTGCACTTTTAACCGCCCGGCGCTCCCTCCCCAGCCCGTCCCGCCAGCAGCCCCCGCCGCGGCCCCGGGGCTCGGCCATGATCCAGCACCGCCGCCCCGCGCCCACCGAGCCTCCCCCAGCGCCCTCCGCCCTCAGCACGGGACCGGCGGCGGGAACCGCGCGGGAAGGGCTCGCCGCGGGGACAGGACGGCGCTCCCCGGTCCCGGCGGCAGCAAGGAGGAGCCGCGCAGGGGACTGGGATGAGGAGGGGACAAGGAGGAGGATGGGCAGGGACGAGAGAGGCACTCGCGGCACTGGCGGCACTCACCGCGCTCCGCGGGCCCGGCCCGCCGCCGCCGCCGCCGCCCGGAACCGCCGCCGCTCGCGCACGCGCACCCGGCGGGGCGGGCGGGGCCGGGGCGCGCCCCCGCGGGCGGTGACGTCACGTCCTGTTGTGCTGCGCGCCCCGGGCCGGCGGCGGTGGGTGAGTGGCGGCCCCGGCCCGGGACAGCGGGGACAGCGGGGACAGCGGGGACAGCCCGGGATAGCCCGGGACAGCCCGGGACAGCGGCGGGTCTTCCCGGCGGGGCGGCAAGGGGAGGCGCCGGGGAAGGTGGCGGAGCGGGGCCGGCGCTGGGCGGCCGCGGCTGTGGAGCCTCCGGCGGGCGCGGGCCCGGCTCCGGTGGCGGCCCCGCGGGGCTGTCCCGCCGGGCAGTGCCCGGCCGCCCCCGCGCTGCTGCCGCGGAGAAGGAGCTCGGGAGGGATCGCAGCGAGGTGCGAAGGGCCTGAGGGGTGGGCACAGAGGGGAGAGTCCGGCTGGGCTCGCTGCTGCCTGGGGACCGGAGCGGGGCCGTGGGCACACGCTAAACGCTGTCTGAGCATAAGGAAACGCTTTGCTCTGAGGGAGGCTCTGAAGTCTTCCTTCTTGGGGTTATTCAAAGGCTACCTGGACATCGTCCTGGGAAACCAGTGTGGGATGGCCCTGCCTGAGCAAGAGAACGGGATGGTCCCTGCTGACCTAAACCATCCTGTGACTCCTGAGACCTTTCTGAAGCTTTGCTGCAGGTGCCATGCTCGCAGCTCAAAGTTACACAGGTTGCCAGGATCTGTGTTCACACATTGATAAAAAGACACTTTGATATTTTTGACACTGGCTGTGCTTGTTCTGAGAAACTCAGGCTTTGGCGTTCACAGTGAAAAGCCCAGGGCAGGTCTGGTCAGAAGGCAGTGACACTGCCCACAGAAAAATGAGCACCCATCACACCGTCAGTCAGCTTTGTACACAGCATCTGTGTTCAGACCTCGGTATAAAATCCCAATGTCTATGTTTCAGTTTATTCTATATGGCACAGTTGGTTACCCACTGAGAGCACATCAATGGACTTGGAAGCTAAAGATGAAGATGAGGAGAGTCTACAAACAGCATTCAAAAAGCTGAGAGTGGATGCAGCAGGGTAAGTGAGCAACAAAAAAGGCAATGTAATTTGTCGGGTTTTTATTACATATTTGTAGATATTCCTTTATTTTACATTTCAAAAAGAAAAAGCCATTTGTTGGAAAGTTCTTTGCTCTCTGAACTGCATCACTTCAGATGAAATACAGTCATTATAACTGTCTAATATGCAAACCAGTACTTTATTACAGAGTAATTTTGACTAATATCTAATTGAAATCACACAGTGACTACATGGAAGCATGAAAAGACTCACCTAAAGCAGTGAATCCACTTTTAACTGACGTAGCTGTAGTCAACCTGGTGTGACAGAATTTGTTTGTCTGTCCCTCTAAACACTGGTGTCTGCAGCCACGTTATAAGCCTTTATTTAGTGCACAAAATTTTGCTTGGATGGCATCTGGACAGCAGCACCAACACCTCAGAGTGTGCTGGGATGCCCAGTCTTACCGGGAAGGGTCAGGATAAATATGAGCTCTGAGCATTCCTGATTTCAGGGGTTTTTGTGGAGTAAAATGTCTGCAGACATTTTGCAATAAAAACTTACTCAGTGAGATACTGGGTGTGCTGATAATATGTAGCGTAAGAGTTGATAAAATTATGCAGTCTAACACTCTGAGACAGTTCACTTGAAGCCTTTTGGGAATTTACAAACACAAGTGGAACTTTTGTGTTGACAGTGTTATGTTGTGAATTCATCCCCACTACCATCAACACTGTGAATTCAGGCCTCCCTCTGCATGTGGAAATTATTTTGCTTTGCTACTCCTTCCCTCTACTTCAGGAAGTCTTCTGAGCACTGTGGAAAAAATAGCTGTTCTCTATCAAGGAACTGTGGTTATTAATCATAACGCTTTTGATGTAGTACCACTGGCAGACTGTGTGGGCTTCTGGTTGATTCCTGATGACATCTTAGGCATAAAAAGATCTTGTTTTGCAGGCATGTGTTGTGAACAGCTCAAATCTTGTGACTAATCTGTTAAGATCAACTTTGGGCAGAGTATTAGGGCTCTATGCTAGAATTTCAGCCTCATTTTTTACAATTTCCCATGTTCCAAATCACACCTGCAGCCATCATAACTAAAAATACAGATTCATGTGCTGAGGTGTTTATGTTTTCATCCAGACCTGCAAGGTCAGATGCTTTTTTCATTCCATGCTTATGTCAAAAATTTAATGAGAACTAAATAAATGAGCAGTCTGTCCTTGCCTGCTGTACCTCCTCCACTTCTCCACTGATTCCTCCACAGCCTGCTGCTCCAGGTGCCTGACTTTGCATTTCAGAGGAGTAGAAGGCTACCTTTAATGACTATTGTCTGACAAGAATGTTTGGAACCTGAGTTTACATTCCTTTAATGTGTCATTTTAGTACAAATAGGGCATGACATCAACCTCTGGGCATTTTGGCTGCCTTTCATTGCATCTCATCTATCTTTAGCCACTTGACGAGGTCAGTATAGTAAGTGGGGTTGTATAAATCTCTCTAAGGCCCTGTTTCTACCCACTGACTACAGAGGGAGTCAATGCAGCAAATTTGATGGGCTTAGCTGAGCATCCAAAGCACACAGGCTGAATGTGGGCCTCTGGAGCCGTCTGTTCAGGCATTTCTGTGATGTGGCATTTCCCTTTTTACCCAGATGTATTGCAGCTCTGTCCGTGGGCGACGGGACGATTCTCAGAACAACGACAAGAGCAGCCATGGATGGAGCCAAGCAGCAGACTGTCAGCTCCAAGGAAGTGTGGCATGGGTAAAACATGACACATTGAACAAAGCAGGCTGCTTTCAGTGCGAGTTATTGTTAATTAGTTGCTTGAAGACATCCTTCCTTTCTGTCACAGAATGTTTCCATAACTGATATGTTCTTTGATTTCATCAAAGTCTTTAAAAACAATATTGCATCTTCTCTTAGAGAGGGTTCCCAAAACTTTATTTTCTGTTGATATCATCAGTAGTATTTTTCTGCAAGTCTTAAACCTTTTCATCCCCCTCTCATCTCACTCTTGGGTTCTTTTATTACTTTTGAAGTACCTGGATATTCAGTGTGACTCTGCCAGCAGCTCTGACTGACCCAGGTTCTGCACTACAGTTCAATTTGGGATGAGTATCATTTGCTTAAGGTGGAAGACTTGGGGGGAAGCACCTTGGATAAGGGTTCCTTGTATGTATCTTTCCTTTGGGGGAACCCGAATTTCTTCAGAGGCCTCCACGGTTTGTGTCAGAGATTGTAAGTGTCCAGTCATCTGGTATTTCCAAGCAGAAAAATAATCTTGTACAATGTTTTTAATCACATTTTAGAGCTCACTGAGCTGTTGTGTAGATTCTGGAGTTACCCACTTGCTCACCTGTTGAACCCTGCAGGTGTGTGAGGAAGCCTTCCCGAGGATCGGCGAGGGTCCCACGTCGCCGGCGCTCCAAGTCTCCGGTCCTGCACCCTCCCAAGTTCACCTATTGCAACATGAAAGCCAACAGCCAGCTGAAACACAAACCCCAGGCAGACACTTCGAAGGGTGTCATCAGCTCAGATGTTCTTGTCCCAGCAGAACATGGTACGAAGGACGGGCAGGATTCTCACCTTGAGGCCAGTAACGACAGAACTGAACCGTTGGAAGCTTTCACCGCCGAAGAGCCTTTGCAGAAGCTGGAGGAGAATTGCCCTGCTCTCTGCTCATCCTTTGAGAACAGCTTGTGTTCTAAGCAAACCTCAGATTTCCAGTCCTTATCCATGCTTAGCAACGGCAGGCAGTGCCCTTGTACGGACAGGAAGTGCCAGTGCAAGCAGTGGCGCACCATGGAGGTGTACTCCTTCTCCGGCCTGCGGAGCGTCCTGTCCGAGTGCGAGAAGGCAGTCCTGGGAGTCCATGCCCACTCCCTGCACAACAGATCTCCCTCTGGGACAGCCTCAGCAAGCTCTCCCAGGTCTTGTTCTGAGCAGGCTCGAGCCTTTGTGGATGACGTGACTATTGAAGATCTTTCGGGATACATGGAATACTACTTATATATTCCCAAGAAAATGTCTCACATGGCAGAGATGATGTATACCTGACTGTAAGCAATAGAGAATCCTGAAGCAGAGTTTGTTACAATGGTTGGGCTAATTGCCTTGTCAGTGCCATGTTTTCACTGTTGTGTGTTTGATTAAATGTTTCTTTGCCTCATACAGTTTAGTTTTCTAATAAAATGAAAAATTAAATATAGTTTCTGAGCTTAGTTCTAAAAAGAATGCACTAAAGTCTCTGAATACCTTAACAAAAGCACTCTAGATCAAATGAGCTCTGTTTGGTTTTTGGTTTGTGCTGTGGATATTGAAGCTCTGTATGCTGTTTTCGCTATGTTTTGGAAAAAACCAAACAAAACCAAAAAAACTTCTAGTTTTTTTTCTGATATTTTGATGTGTTTGGAATGTTCATTCTTAATGTATCTCTGTACTTAGAGAAAAGTTTCACAGCTACAGCTCCATCCTCTTTATCCTGTTCTAGAGAGAAGGATGAGAAGACATCCAGCATTTTGGATAGGATGAATGTCCTTTCCTTGAACACTGGCTGGCTCCTGTTTTAGTTGGATCAAGTTGTGAATGCTTCTTCCTTACAATTTTTTTGGGAGGTCCAGAACGTGCGGGTGTATACTTGGACACTTCCTTAATCTAATTCGCTCACCCTTAAGCAGTTCTATTTTTCTGCAGATAAGTGAAGCTCTTAGAGGTAAAAATATATTTTGTTATTTGTGCTTTACAGGTGGAATAATTTATGGGGGAGTGAAGCAGGCTACCAGTTTTTTTGGGCTGTGCGGTCTCAGAAGTGGAGAG